GGTCGAGGGATGTGAAATCGCCACTCGACACCTACAATTAACAAAAAAAAAAAAAAAAAAAAGAGGGGAATCCCAATAATAATTTTTCCGGAGTGTTAAAATAAATGAAAATTTTTTTTTTTTTTTTTCTCTCTCTCTTTTTTTCTAATGTTACGACCCAAAACGTTATCAAATTTTTTTTTTTTTTAATGATAGATCGTTTTTATACTCTTTTGTACTTTTCTAACCCCCTAAGTGCAATTAGCATGAGTCATTATCATGAAGGGTGGTTCATCGGTCACAAGTTTTACGATTCTATTTTTTTTTTTTTTTTTTTTTTTTTAAACCGATTGATTTTTCATTTGCAAAAAAAAAAAAAAAAAAAAAAAAAGGTTTCGTCGGCCATTATAATAAACTTTTTTGTAATAAAAAAAAAAAATAAAAAGAGTTTTTTACTAAATTGCCATAATATTTTTTTTTTTTTTTTAAATACTTTTATTGTGGTTCGAGTGTGATTACCTTAAAACGTTTTAAAATTTATTTATGTTATTAATAAATTGTTTTTAATTTTTAATTAATTTCTGTTTGTTTTGTTTTGTTTTTTTTTTTTACAGATAATAATAATGATGATGATAAAATAAAATTTTTATTATTTTAAATAATATTTATTTGAGACGACGACTTTAAACGAAGAAAACTCAACAGAAAAAAATTAATTGATTAATTTAATTAAGGTAAATTATTAAAAATTACGTCATTACGTCATTTAAAATTTACGCGATAAGTAATAATAATAATAATAATAATAATAATAATAATAATCCATAAATTAATAAATAAAATTTATTGAAATTTTTCCGAAGTGTAAAAGTATTTTTAAAAAATTTTCTTTTAAGTTAACATTACGGATTGAAAAAACTTTTAAAATCTTTTAAAGTATTAAATTTATAAATTACATTAAAGAAATTCATATGTAAAAATAAAATTTGGCGGGAAAAATAAAATTTCAAAAAATTTTTGATTTTTACGAACGAGACGGAAAAAAAAAATCCGACGATAAATTTTTTTTTTTTTACGTAAAATTCATCGCTATAAATAAAATTTAAAATAATAATAATAATAATAATTATTATTATTATTATTATTATCCGAGTAATTAATAAATTATTAAACGTATTAATAATAATATTATTTTTTAATAATAAAACGGAATAATTAATAATTTTAAAATTAATTAAATACATAAATAAAAAAAAATTTAAAAATTAAAACGATAACGATAAGTTAAGGGTAATAATTAACTACTACTAAAAGTTTTCAAATAATAATAATAATAATAATAATTTTTTATTACCTTTTTATATCACTTTTAAAATACGCACATTTGTAAAGACTTATAAAGTTCTTAGTCTCTGAATGACTACCACTTTTTCCGTACATAGGAATTGTCAGTCAGAACATTCAAATGTGATAATAATCAAGCGCGAAACACGGGGGATGATTTTCCCGTTAGGGGGTTGTTCACAATAAATGTATATTACCTTTATTTTTATTTTTACTCTCGTCCGCGTGTGTTTGTGTCGTTTCGAAACGAAATCTGGAAAAAGAAAATTTGGAAAAAAAAAAAAAATTAATTTCTTTTGCTCTTATTTAATTTAATAAAAAATTTTATTATTATTATTATTATTATTATTATTATTATTATTATTATTATTTGCAACTCGCGCCATTTTAATTTGTACTCAATTATTTTTTTTTTTTTTTTTTTTTATTTTAGATTTTGAAGACTTTTCACCGCTTCACCGATTTCAAATCGTGGTTTATAAATTAATTAATTAATTTAAAGAAAAAGGAAAAACTTACCAGGTAATAAAATCTTAACGATAATAATAATAATGATAATTAACGAAATATACGCGTAAACGGTAAAATGCAAAGTGAAAAAACATTCAATTGTTGATATCTGTATAAGCAGAATGAAAACCGGGTAAAAGAGGAGGAGGGGTGTGAGGGAGGAGGGGAGGGGAGAGAGGGGGAGCATTTATTAAAGGGGTTTGAGTCGTTTTGGGAGTTTATGAGAGAGCTACGCGAGAGAGAGAGAGAGAGAGAGAACCGATCACGGCAATCTGCGCTTTTCTCTTTAACGCCCATTCCCTTAAATCGACCGTAATACAAACGAGGAAACAAAGCCTTGGGAGAATTTTTTAAAAATTCAAATGATAAACCCCCCCTCTTAGAAGCTCGAGTTTTCCCTTTTTTCAATACCTTTTCATTCTGTCAAGTTAGCGGAAAACGCGAAACAAATTTGCTTTCCCATAAGGATATAAAGGATTTAAAAAAAAAAAAAAAAAAAACCAAAAACAATTTTATACATATTTAACTTTCGTAGTACGAATCTAAAAAAAAAAAAAAAAAAAAAAAAAAAACGGGAAAATAAAAGAAAATTTTTTTTTTTTGTTGTCATTTTCTGAAATCTGATACGCCCACCCCCACCCCCCCCATAAGGAGGGAGGGAAAGAAATGTGTTTCTCATAAAACTGCACTTGTTTGCCACAATCTTTATTTATTTCCTATAGAAAGGGTTCTCCTTCTTCTTCTTCTTCTCCTTCTTCTTCTTCTTCTCCTTCTTTTTCTTCTTCTTATTCTTCTCCTTCATTCTTACCATTATCATCATCATCATCATCATCATTCTTTTTTTTTTTTTTAATATCGAGACAATAACAATGCAATTTCCTTCAAATTGAAATTTTCATCCCCCAAAGATACCGTCAACAGATTTTTATAATAATGATGATAATAATACGCATGTTAATAAACTTGTAATTAAATTTTTTATTTTTTTTTTCGCGTTCTTTATTAACCGTTTATTATTATTATTATTATTATTATTATTAATTTTTAATAAGCTGTTTAAAAAAAAAAATTATTTTCCTTTCGTTTGTTTGTTTTAATTGATTTTTTTTTTTTTTTTTTTTTTTTAGATTTGGATAGAACCGACAAACAAAAATTTAAAAAAATTGAAAAAAGAGAGAAGAAGGGTGTCGGGGGGGGGGGGAAGGGGGGAAGGGAAACCCACAAAGCAGAATGAAAATTATTGAAAAAAGAAGGAAGAAAAAAAGATAACAATAACAACAACAACAACAGCAAAAAAAAAAAAAAAGGATGAAGCTGTTGATGATTTTATTTACAAAACGTATATGTATAAAAGGAAACAAGAGCGTAAAATCAGAATAAGACCGTTCTTCGTGTTCCGCATTGAATACTTAATGACAACAGAAAAAGCGACAGAGGATGATGATGATGATGATGATGATGATAGACTTATTATTGAATTTAAGAAAACGGTTGAATACACGCGTGCTTTTTTCTCATCAGGAACGAATTCAGGTTTGTTTTTATTTTGAATTTTATTATTTGTTTGTTAGACAAACGTGTAAATAACGTACATTCGAACGACTTGAAACAAAATTTATTTACAATTTTTGTACACATATCGAGGATTATCACGACGACATTTTTAATTGTTTTATTAATTATTTAGTTTGTCGATCTCTCTCTCTCTCTCTCTCTCTCTCACTCTGAGATTTTAGAGAAAAAAAGTTTTCAACTTACTTTGGTAAAAAAAAAAAAAAAATGGGGGGTGTAAATTTGACAAAGATGTAATTAAAAACTTCTGCCTTACGGTTGGAACATGGATGATAATTTTGAAAAGAATGAAATTGTTTATAATGAAAAGAAATGAATACAGGGGTTGAAATCTGGATTGTAAAAAATATTCATCTTCTTCTATACGGTATACCTTTCACTGTTTTTTATATTATTATTATTATTATTATTATTATTATTATTATCATTATTATTATTATTATTATTATTATTTATACATAATGAGAGTGAGAGAGAGAGAGAGAGAATCCTTTATCCACCCCCGTTTGAACATCATGACACTCGCTTCCATTCTCAACGTTATTTAAAAAAATTTTTTTTTTTTTTTTTTTCATCCCCCCCTTCTTTTTTTTCCCCTTCGTATATAAGCAGATTTTTTTTTTGTTACACGTTTACCATCCGGGGGGTTTTTTTAGAAATTTAATATAAAAAAAAAAAAAAAAAAAATTATGATGTAAATTTATAAAAAGAAACAACTATTGTATATGTATATTTGATAAATCGTATTTTTTAAATATGGAAAAAAAATTTGTTCTAGAAGAAATTTTTTGAAATATATCTTTAGAATATATTACGGTTAAAAATAAGGGGAGATAATATAAAAAAACTTGACAATATCTAATAATCTGATGTTAATGTCATTTATTTTAAAGTGAAATGCGTATGATGGAGGAAAAATATTTTCCACAACAATGCCACCCCCCTTCCTCCCCCTTGTTTCATTTATATTTAAAAAGTTATACTTATTAAAAAAAAAGGAAAAGGAGGAGGATGTAGAAAATGATGCTTTGTTTAAAATAAAGCTGTCAACGTTTAATGATAAGGGTTGAAAATTGATTGGCAAATTCTTACTTATGATATTCTTTCAGCTGTTAGTTTTAACCCCTTAATTTTAATCAAAAAAAAAAAAAAAACCACTCCATGATCATCATTGTAAAAAATTCAGAAAGAATAAAATTCAATGACAAAAAAAAAAAATAAAAAATTTTCTTTTATTTATTTATTTTTATTTATTTATACATTTTAAATAAAAATACACATTTTAATTATTTTTTTTTGTTTATGTTTTTCAGGTAATAATCTTTTGTACGCATGAGAAATAATAATAATAATAATAATAATAATAGATTTTGATATGGGATTCAATTTTTTTTCAACAAACTTTAAATAAGTCTACAAAATTATAACAACAACAATTATAATTATTTTATTACCGTAAGTATTTTTTTTTTTTTTTTAATAACGCATTAGGTCCTGATATTAGTAATACAATTGTAATTTTAATTTTTAATATTTTTCATGTATGTGAATTTTCAGTCTTCCCTTTTTTAAATTAACTAAAACTAAATTAATAATAAAAAAAATGTTTTTAATTACATTTATTTGTTAACGGAAAATGTTAAAAATTACTTTTTTTTTTTTTTTTTTCATTTTACAAATTTTTGTTCATTTTTAAAACGTTTCGGTAATTGTACTCGTTTGTTTGTTTGTTTTTAAAAATAACCGTTACTTTTTGACGCGCGAAAGCCGCGGGTTTAACTTTGGGAGTCATAGAATAAATAAACGACATTTAATATAAAATTACCGCCCTCTTCGACCGCCATTTTGATTTTGAAACTAATACTGTAAACTTCTTTTCGTTTGAATATCATCTAGAGTTTGACGCAATTCTTCATCTTCGAACCTTCCTTCCAAACTTGGAATCAATGCTTTGGCTTCTTCAGGTGTTTCAGGACATAGATTCGCGAGTGCGGCTAATTCGAATTTATGAAGTTTTTTCTGCATCAACAAACTGAAAATAACGACACAGGGGTAAGTCCATATACATATATATATATAACAAAAACGAAAGTTTTAATGCTAAATTAATTCAAAAAGTATGTTAAAAACTTACTTTCGAACTGATGATATCGTTTCTTTGTTTTTAAATTTTCTGAATCTGTTTGTGTACGTGAGAGTTTTCATAAAAACGTCCGAAAATTCCAATTCTTCTTCTGCGCTTTCATTTTGAGCTTTTCTATGTTCTAGAAGCATGTGAACTTCGGATATAATGAGAGTTTCCGCGTTTTCAAATTCTGAAAAACAAAAAAAAAACAAATTTTAATCTCGTAAAAGATAAACGTACCATAAATTATCATTTTTTTTTTTTTTCATGTACATAATTAAAACCTGTAGTTTTTGATAGGTTCTTATCACGGGGTGAAATTTGTCTGTCATCTTTCAAAAAAAAAAAAAATCAATTCAAGGGATTTGAGTTATTAAATTTTTATCTCTTAAAAAATTAAATAATTTTCTAGTTTTGTTGACGTCGATTTTAATTAACTGACGAGCCGTTGCTAATCTTATACCATTATTCTTATTGTTTTCGTTTATTAACAAATCTTTAAATGTAAAATATGATTCAGGCACTATTCTAGCATTCGAACACAATTCTCTTTCCTCTTCGGTGAGTTTTTCATAACCAGGTAAAAGTAATATGTTTAAAGGTGGTGCTGGCTTTCTTGTACTCGTTACTGCTTTCGTTATTAACGGTTTAACTTGTAAGTTAACAGTGGTCAATGATTTCAAAGGATTTTGTTTGAGCTGAGACAATTCCTTTAACATTTCATCCCTCGAGGCTTTTAACTTTTCATACACTTTACAACTGTAAAACCTCGTCAGTCCACATTCTCTAAAATTTTTCAATCTGCAAAAATATCTTTTGAGTTCCATTTCTTTATCTAAACCTTCTAAAATATAATCAAATTTTTGACCAGACACCAATTGCATGAACGGAAATAATTTTTCAAGAACTGATTTTGTTATCGAACTTTCATATTTATTTAAAGTGATGGGAAATTTTCTCAAAAGGAAAAGACCATGATTTTTAATTATTCTTTTCCTTCTCATTCTTTCTTTCAAACATTCATTGTACTGTTGCACCATGATCAATTTTAATTCTCTGATAAGATCTTGTTCCGAATCGTTTTCACCATTTTTTATTTCATCATCTTCACTTTCATTGTTATCTTCATCGATATCGATATCAATGTTGTTTTTATCACTATCCGAGACGTTGCCAGAATTCCTTATGTTGCTACATGTGACAATGTCATAATAATCTTCATCTTCAACTTTTTCAAAGTCTATATTTGTCACCAACATTTCAGCATAATTGTCATATTCAATTTCGAAATCGCTGCGAGCTGCATTATAACCAGCAAAATACCTATATTGTGGCGTATTAATGGGAAATCTGGGTGGTTCCTCGCTTAAAGCCAATGCATTGTACTTATATTGAGGATTATTTCTCACAGAAGCTAGCATATTCATACCAAAAGCAGGAAAATTAGCAAATTTGTCTCTATTATAAATAAAATACTCATTGAAGTGAATTCTTATTTCTTCTGGTGTTTTGCTTAATATTCTTTTACCAATATCGGTCCAATTTCCATACCCAAATTCTAAGACTGCATTAATTAAATCTAATTCTAATTCCGCTGGCCAATCTGATGTTAAAAAAATTGGGACATGTCTTCTATCGACTTGATATTTATGATGACTTTGATGTTGTTGAGTTTCCAAGCCGAGTGAAAAACACTGAACACACAAATCCACACATGAACATTCATAACAACGAATAATCGGTTCGTCTTTCAATTCTTTCTTGCATATAACACATTTTTCTGGTATTTTATATGATAGCTCAAGCCAATCTGCTTCAACATTTATTTCATCTATAAACAAGAAACAAGAAAGGTATTGAAGGACTCCAACCAAAAAAATGTCAACTAATAAAACTCTTTACTCGTTATGTTTTTTACTCGAAATTATATTTCAATTATTAATTAGCCTTTTAAACCCTATGTAATGAGTTTAGGTTATGAAAACATATTTAATAATTTATTAATTTTCCTCTTTATGAGACAACAACGAACAAAAAAATTTACCTTTTGGAAACTGTAAATCAGCCGCATCCTCTTCAATAACATCTGTAGAACCAGATGCAGCCATGTTTTGTTACAAAAATAATAATAATAATAATAATCAAAAGAGAAAATTAGGAGTCTTTAGTAATCGGTAAAGCCGACACATTTGCCGCCATTTACGTATGAATTTGCTACCGTCAAGAGCTTCTTCTAAGAAATGTCGCGCCATTGATTAATGCATTTTTATAATCGAAAATTATTTTTAAAATATTTGTTACTTTTCAATTAAAAACTATTATCAACTATCGAAAGTAAGAAATAACGATTAACAGTTTCTAAATGTAAAAACATTCGCCATATTAATAATACTTTTTGAATTTGAATATTTGGAAAGAAAAACCGTTATTAAAAGTATAGGTAAAGTGAAATAATTAAATTTTTTTTTTTACAGATTTTTTTTTGAAATTGAAAAAAAAAAAAAAAGAAATTATAAAACAAAGTAAAACAATTTATTTTTTCATTTTGCAACATTTATAATTGTGAATAATGCCATCGCATTCTCAAAACAGTTTTACATCAAACAAGAATGTAAAAGTCGACATATAAAACTGGATTTAATCACTACTAAAAGAAGAAAAAAAGTACATTGTTTTTCTATCTTTAAATGGAAACCTACAAATAAAGCTACTAATGAGGTAATATCAAAATATGTATAATCGATGTCAAATTCTAACCATTTAAAAAAAAAAAAATTTAATTAAAATGGCTTCTAAATTGATTTTAAATAATGTCAAATTTTCTACTTTATATAAAGCATTTCAACCATTTTCTAATTTAAAACATTACACTAATTGTTAACAACAACAGAATTAATTTTGTGTAATTATTGCAAAAAAACATACAATTTGTCTGTTGCATGAAACAAATTTGTTTTTTTTTTTTTGGATATAACAATACAAAACTCATGATATCAATTTAATATAAGATATCATATATATATATATATATATATATAAAAATATAAATATTTTTCCTAACAAATTGTATGTTTACAAAAAAACTTATTTTTTTTTTTTTTTAAATATGATGGTAAATAAATATGAAGATTTCTACAGAGATCTTTAATTTATAATAAAAATAAACAATTTTTATTATTTTCTAATAATTATTAACAAACCTTATTGATAGTATATGTATATATAATTTTATTTATTTGTACATAAACAAATGCATGATTTAAGAAAACAATTATGTTATTTAATAATAATACATTTTATTTTCAGTCAGACTTGGATTTTTAATTTTAGTTTTGCTTTCATTTTAAATTGACAAGCAATACTTTTTTTTTTTAAATAATTTACCAATACTAGCATTTTACAGGACAATAATTTATTTATTTATTTATTTTTTTTTCAGTGCGTTTTTTTTTTTTTTACAATATTAAAGCACTTCGTAACGAACGAGAATGACGTTATTCATAATAATAATAATAATAATACTCTAATTGAAATAACTTCAAGAACATGCGCATTCGATAATTTTAGTATCATTCCAAACGGATACTTTTAATTTTTTTGGATTATCTTCATCTGGATAAAGAATTTCTAAACTTTCCATTTTCGATGGTGCACAACAAGGTTTGGGAATCGTTTTATCTATGTTCGAAAACAAATATTGTAAATTTGAATGTTGAGTTGCTAAATTCCATTGTCCGGTACATTTACCAGCACATAAACCAGCATCGAACTTTCTAGGTTGTACGATATATTCGTATCCTTTTAATTTTCCTAAATCAACTTCCCAAGGATGTCTTACACATTTACCCGGATACCTTCTCCTTTTTTTCTTTTCCGCTCTCCTCCTCCTAGTTCTAGCTTTAACATTAACAATAACGTTTAGGTAGGGATCCATCAATTGGATATTTTCTCTAACGCACTCCTCGCAGAAGACGGACAATTGTAAATTTTTCGTTTTATGATTTAAATTAACATTATTATTATTATTATTAAGTAAATCTAAACCTATCCACTTTGGTAAACATGTATCTAATAATAATTTTTCTTTTTTCATATAATTTTTTTCTCCTGTTTTCACAACCGTTAATGTAACATATTTATTTTTCGTGGCACAATTATTAAAAACTAACAATAAACGAAGTGAACTCTCTTCGATTTCAACATATTTATTATCCTCTTCGGGAATGTATATATTATAATTTAAATTCCTTATTCCTTGTGATGTGTGAGCCTGTGAATTTTTTAACCCTAAAAAACAAAAATGTCAGTTTATTAATTTACAAAAAAACAAACAAACAAACAAACAAACGATAACTTTCTCGTTATTGATAACAACCCAAGTTCAAATATTATATTTGATGGTTATTAATGATATATTTATTTAAATAAAATGTCGGCCGCCGACATTTTATCAAAATAAATAAATAATTAATTAATATAAAAAAATTATTATTTTACCTGAATGGGTGAATGTATATAATTTTTTCCTAACAATGTTTTCTTCGTCGTAATTATTTGACGATAAATTCAGTCTTTTTCTTTGGTTTTGTTCGACTAAATCGAAATATTCTCTATGTTTTGTTTCGTATTCAATTTGACTTATGTTCCACTGTAAAAAATTAATAATAATAATAATAATTGTATTTTTTCTTTTCAGATGAAGTAATAAAAATTTTAAGGATGGAATATGGACGATAAGAGATATGAAATAAAATATTTTGGTTATCAGAAGACGACTTTAATTTTTTTTTTGGAAAAAAAAATTTAAGGGATAAAATAAAATGGCGGCATCGTCGAAGGATGAGACAACATTCATTTCGTCATCTTTTCCTCGTCAAAAATGATTTAAAAGGTGGTTTGTGGGTGTTTTTTTTTTTTTTTTTTTTAATAATAATTTAAATTAAATACCTGGGATACGTGAGGAATCCTTTTTTTATTTATTTCTTTTAATATTTTCATTCTTATATCTTCGGCGGCAACGACCATTATGAAATTTAATAAAATTAAATAAATAAATGGCCGAATAAGCGGAAATGAATGGATAATTTTAGGGAAATCTAAGGCATTTTTTCCCATATCCGGACATTGGTACAATAATTGCGATAATCCATTTACTCAATTTGTTAAATTTTTTATTTATCAATTTGATTTTTTATTACCTGAAAAAAAAAAAAATTATTATTATTATTATTATTAATATTATTATTTCTCTCAATTTAATTTATTATTAATAATAATTTAAAAAAAAAAAAAATTCAGCCAATGAAAATCACAAAACCGTGTGGCTATTTATTTATTTATTTATTTATTTTAATTATTTATTTATATTGATAATTTAAAAAAAAAAAAAAACACAAATAATGATAATCTTTTGACTTTTATTTTTTTCTTTTACTGGAAAATTACCGATATAAGTATAATTTTTAAAAAAGTATCCGAATTTAAATAAATTTTATAAATTTAAACCAAAAAAATGTTGAATTATTATTATTATTATTATTATTATTATTATTATTATTATTAATTCAATCGTTGAAATTTATTTATTTGATTTAAATGTTATTAATAATTTTAAACTTTTTTGTTATTAACTTTAATTATTCAATGAATATAATTTATATCTCTTGGTTTTCAAAAAAATTTTTATTGTCAAAAACTAATAACATTTTGTTATTATTATTATTATTATTTATTTATTTATTTATTTTTTCAGATAATGATAAGAGACCACCCTGAGGTTGAAATTCAAAACGATTCAACTTTTTTTTTTTTTTTTTTTTTTTTCTGAAGAAAGAAAAATGCTTGACAGTTGATGTAACTTGTCAAAATAACACAAAAAAAAAAAAAATTTTTAATATTAATAATAATAATAATTATGTGGAAACTTTTGTGATTTCAAATTCAAACGTTATGAATAAGTTCTTGAATAATAATAATAATATTTATCCTCATTCGTTAGGAGAAGAAAAAAAAAAAAAAAAGGGGGAAAAACTTGCATAATTTACTAGCGTAACAACTTGAGGTGAGTTATTAATTAAAATAATAAATTATTATTGAAAATTATTTAATTATTAGGGAAAACCTATGATGATGATGATGATGATGATGATAAATATTATTACATATTTAACCTAATTAAATAATCATTCGGATTGTTATTCGCGTTTAATTTTTTTTTTTTTTTTACAGGAAAATTTTAAATGGAACAATACCGAATTTTCTTTTTTTTTCCTTGGGGGGGGGAGGGGGAGCGATAGGAAATACGATGTGATAAATAATAATTTTAAAAAATTAGAGAAAAAAAAAAAAAAAAAAAAAACTTACCCAAAGTTATAATCAGGTTATAAAATATCACTTTATGTTAGAATATTTTAAAAAATATTAATTAAAAAACTTTTTTTTTCCTCCATTCATTCCACACGTTTAAAATATTCACTTGATTTATTAAAAAAAAAGTATTTTTTGATTAATTATTATTATTATTATTAAAAATAATCACGAAACAATAACGATCACTTTAAATTATTTTAACACAATGTGAAGAAAAAAAAAAATTTTTTTATTTTTAGAGTTGTAAGAAGGAGAAAGAGAACTAGCCGCGTGCCACCGAAGTATTCATTCATTTGAATCAACAACCAACAACGGTTAAATGACGTTATGGTGTAGCGTATAAAGGAACCGCACGACGATATATCAAACCGTAGTCCAATGCGTACTAGTCAACTTTCAACTATAAACAATAGATTACACTACTTTTTAAAGTAAATTTTTTATCACACCGTTCAGTGGCGTAAAGTTAAATTAAATAATTTTTTTTTTTTTAATCGCCATTTTCTGTTTTCTGTTTGTTTTGTTATACCGCGAAATGAAATCCCACCCTTTTACTCAAGAGAAGGGGAAAGATATATATAAAAAAGAAAATTATGCCCCCCCATATTTCAACTTTATTTTTTTTAACCAGTTATTATTATTATTATTATATCGTTAGGTTTTTCCACGAATTTTCACTTTTTTTTTTTTTGTCATAAACCATACTTTGCACGCTACATTTTTTTTAAAAAACACTTTCATTATAAAAAAAAATTTAAATTTTTTCTTCTTCTTCTTTCTAATTATTTTTTTGAAATTAATTTAATTTAATTTTTTTTTTTTACGATTAATTGAATTCGTTTGCAGTTTTCTTCAATAAAATCCTTTTTTAATTTTATTTATTTTTTTTTTTAGGTTTTCATGGAATGTTTTCATAACAAACCGCAACTGATGGTTTAATTCAAATATTACGGTAATAATAATAATTTTTTTACTCAGGCATTCATCACACTTTTTTTTTTAAGATTCCGAGAAGAAAAATAAACACGACAATATTCATCATTTCATGTATTTTTTTTTCTAAGCATAACAATCACAAATTTTTCATCGTACCTGACGATTAAAACAACTACTTCTACGACGTTTCGCACAAAACCAATTATTTAATTCCACGTTAAAAAAAAATTCAAATTCGAAATTTTTTTCTTGGATTTTATTTATGTGACACAAATCCGTTTGTCACTCGATTTACGACGTCACTACTAATAATTTACAGGTTAGAATTTTTTTTTTTTTTTTTTATAACGTAAGTTTGTGTATTTTAAAAATAATAATGATAATAATAAATAAATAAAAATTCGTTAAATAATGCAAAAGAAAAAATGACTAAAAATTATTATTATTATTATTATTAGTATTGAGAAGTCGAGTGTTGTTAAATGATTATAGGAATTTCCAAAGTTCGAAATGAATTATGATGGATCATTATTAAACAAATCGTAAAAAAAAAAAAAAAAAATTCGACGGTTTTCGTAGAAACAAACCATCAATAAATGTTTAAAAGAAAACACCTACGTATGTGTTAAGGGTTATCACTAGCCGGGAGTGGGGGAGTGGTGGTGTACTCCTATAATCCACCCACTCGGAGGTTTGATATGGAGGGGTTTTGAGGATTGGATTTCTCACGCGTTCGCTAGAGGGTTAACCTTCAACACGGGTGCCTCTGGGTCCCCGAAGGTCCTCAGGTTAAATAAGGAGAGAAGGAAGTCCGTATTGGAGGTCGCGGGTTCAAATCCTTGGAGTGAAAGTTCGACCCCGTGGAGGCAGAACTTTATCTTCAAAAGGGGTAAAGAGGATCCAATACCCTACCGAAGCTGGGTTAGACTCTCGCGAGAGCTCCTCCCTCCAAAAGTGCACGGGGATCCTCCAAACAAATTTTTTTTATTTTTGTTAAGAGTTATCACGTGGGGTGTGATAAAATATCCACAATTCATTTTTACTCAATTTTCTTTTTTTTTTGCAGGAAACGATTGAGAAAATTCCTGAGGAAAATTCGCCGAAAATACGAATAAATAACCAAAATGATAAGAAATTAAAATAATAATAATAAACAAGAAGGAGAATAAGATGAAGACTTAAAATCGGGTAAGTCAAAGTTTTATTTTTTTTTTTTTTATAATCGAAATGATAGGTAAATTTTTTTTTTGGGGGGAGAGGGGGAAACGTTATAATAATAATAATATTTAAAACAATGAATTTTTTCCGAAACGGGGTCACGAGG